TAAAATAATATTAAATTGAATATAGGTTTCGGGATTACTTTTCACATATTTCAAATTGAATTCCAGGAAAATACTATATTTTCTACATAATTCTATTACAGCCATAAAGTACGGGAAAAGGAAAGTATAAATTTGATTATGACGTCATAATGGATCAAGCATCAAAAAGGCAGTCTAAAATCATTTACTAGATCTTGACCTTAAAGCAGTCCTTTCTTTTGGTCATGGTGTTCAAATAGAGTCTACGGTACAAAGGTTACCTTTACTAACAATGATCTGATGAAAGCAAATGAAATATTTTCACACGGTTTTCATTCACATACAAAACTCTAGACACTTTACAGTGTCAATAAGCCATATCCTGATTCTCCATTTCTGGATAAGAATTTGTTTTCAGAACAGATTACTTTATGAAAATGACAATCTCTGGCCCCATAAAAGCCATAACGACGGCCGATACAAGACTTTGTGATGGAAAACAAACAATTTTCCTTCAAATAGGAAGGCCCTAAACCCAAAGGAGACTCTATAATGATAATATTTCCAAATCATGCTTTATCACTAAAGAGAGTCAACACAGAGAGACAGATGGGCCTCTATCGTCCTGTCGGACTCTGAATCCCAGAGGCGGGTGTGGGTCCGCCGGATCAATACTCCGTAACTAGAGCTATGCCACGTTTACGAGGTATCGTCCCAAGTCCGCAGTCGAACGATCAATGGAAGTCTGGAGGTAATAATATATATAAACTTGTATGTACATGTATAACTGCTCCATTCAGTGAGTAGTTTTTAGTTTCAAAGGCTTTTCTGTTTTTTGCATTTATCGCTGTGTGAGTCACGGATTTTTAATTAAATTGTTATACCTGTATGCAAATATTTCCGTTTCAGCAAAAAAGAGAATGCTAAACAAAGATGAATTACACGCCTGAAGACAGAGTAAATCATAATGAATTTACAGCACTTGGAAATAAATTCAATATGGAGGAATGACTCTTCGGTAAATGAACACGGATGTGACGTAGAATCTCATTTATATTAGCAACTTCCCACCGAACACATTCAGTTTTATATTAAACAAAATGATGGCAATTAAATTTTTTATCTGTTCAAGGTCTCTGTTGATATAAATTTTTCAAACTTTTATGAATGTTTCAATTAAATTGTTTAACTTTCACTAGCCATCACTACATGTGACTCAGACATATGGACAAGCAGGCATATGGACAAACAAATATAATTTAAAGCCAAAAAAGGGGGGGGGGAATTCAAAATTGATCCAATTTTTTAAAATTCTAAATTCACTTTTAAAAATATGTATTTTCACTTGAAGATCAATTTCAAGAAAAAGCTCGACTACATGATCCCATAATTCTTCAATCATTCAATTTCAATTTATTACTAAAAATTACATGTAGTATATGAAATAGTTAATTTTGCCCATTATAAATCATCAAATAAAAGAAAAAAAAACTGAATAAATGTAATTGTATTCATACACTGGACGGCACAGTATACTTGTAGTGAAGTGATACATTGGAAATATTCATCAACATTCAGAATCTCTCTCTCTCTCTCTCTCTCTCTCTCTCTCTCTCTCTCTCTCTCAGAGAAAGAAAGAGAAAAAATATTCGTCTATATTTAATATTTAATTTGCATGTTAAACAGGAAGTAGAAATCATCTTTTTAAATCGTATCTTAATCAATGGTTCGTGACTTCAAAGAAGACAACAGAGGAGTGTTATTTAAAAAAAGGGGATTTATATATGAACTCCTCAATGAAGAATCCCTTACCACAATTCCATTGTTTAACTCCGAATCACCGGATTACACTATTGACGGGAAACACAATCGATTTTAGCAATGCCTTTATTACATTATACAATGTTAATGAAGCGCTTAAAAAACGAAGAAGACTATTGCTTCAAAAACTATAGGATTGCCTCACCTAAGAGTCATCATAGAGAAAAAGCGCGTCATGAAGTTTATTTGTTTATTTCCCAATAAAAACTAGTTAGCACACACGATTTCATCATGATAAAGTAACATTTTATTATAGCAAAGAATATACAGCTGTGATTAATGGAAGGTTGTGTGGCGCATATTGTTTTCAGACGGAATACAGCATTAATGAAAATCTACAACTGACAATATGTTGAAGACTCTGGGCCGTTATCCTCCCGGGAAAGACTCTGTCCCAGTTCTTGGTTTTAATTTAAAATCGATACCCCCTCTCATTGGTGTTTAATTTTCCTCGGGACTGACTTCTATTAACCGCCGGCAGTACCACAACAAGGAATGGTCACTTTATCATAAAATTCCCGGAATACATACATTTTAACCTCTCAGATAATGAATTGGTCGCAAAGCTTAAGTGTGATTTATTGTCAAACGTTTACTTTCTAAACGTCCAGCAGGGTTCTATTTCTATACGATTAAATGCATTCTGAGTAAGGTAATTAACTCTGTGATTTTTACTGAATTCAAACAAAACTTAACATTATCAAAGGTGCAGTAAAAGCCATGTGGCTCTACTTAAATCATTCAAATCAATGACAAGGAAGAGAAATGATCATAATCGTGAAGATCCTTAAAATAATTTGAACAATTTTAAAGAATACTTCAATCTTTTATACAACAAATTCGAAACTTGTTAAATTACACGCTACATGTATACGAGTACTTAAAATTACTATTATTAACCATATAGTTTACTGCAGTAACCTGTTAGTTTGAAACATTCTAAAAGGAACGCATTTAACGCTTACTTTATGAACCATGCTGCATTACATCGAAATTTTGTTTCATTTCTAATAATACAAAATCTTATAAAAGTTATATAATATTAAATTAAATAAGATAGAGGAATCGAAAATTAATTAGCATTTTGGCTAATTCCCCACCCCAAATTTTTGAACTATCACAAATTCAGTACAGGCGTTTCAGAAAATGAATAATTATTGTAGGCCAAAAGCTAAATTTAGATAGTACAAAAACAATAACGTTTTCTCCCGATTACAGACGTAGTGTATCAAACACTTATCGCATTATATGCCAAAAATCATGAGCTATATCAATAAACTTAGTGTATCGGATTCATTATAGTAGTTAAAGAGCCACCATTATCAATTACAGAAAACATCAAAACAGATAATACTATATAGTAATCATTATCCTATATACTACAGACACAGGGATTTAGTAAATAGAAAAAAAAAGACACGAAGAACGGAATTTAAATAACATTTTTAATTACTTCTACGTGTATGGGAATCTTAGCGTACTTATATGGTCATTTAATCATATTTTACGTAAAAAACACTATCTTAACTGCTTCCTGTGTAGATCTAGTGCATTTGTTAAATTCTTAAATTCATTTTTTTTTCTTTATGAGGACATCTTAATAAAATGCTATTTTTCCAATGCATAATGAATCCATAAAGTTCTGAAATTGCCCCCCCCCTCCCCCCCGACATCCTAATATGCAGAAATATTTACCTCTACTCTTCATAAACAAAGTGTTTCTGTAAAGTACACAATGACTTTTGTCCCCAGTCATTTGATTAAAAACCTTTCAGTTTGTCAAGGAAAGGAAGAAAATGGCCTTAGTTTCAGAGGCAATAACAAATTATCACCCAAATATGGCACATGGCAGCACTCCTCGACGGCTTTCTGTCAAGGACATGATAGAATGGCATTTATTGGTCTATTTAATCAGCCAATAATTATACAGCGGGGAACTACTAATTCTCTAATTACCGAGGAATAAGTCTTCAGTTAATTTGTTATGTAGTCGAGACCAAAGGGAAGCATATAAAAGGAACCTCCGCGTGTTGAAATATCTAAGTCCAAACGTACTCAAATTACAAAAACATTTCGGAAAATCAAAATTACCTCTATAATCCCTCTACTATTGAAGGTAGATTGTAAACTTACTGAATCAAGTTAATAAATTTACAGATCGTTTGACAGCTGTTATAAGAAGCAATTTTAAATGTGTTTAAGGCCTAAATAATCCTCTTACGAAGCTTGTCAAAATAATAATGAAACTGCAGGGAATATCCAATAAATGTTTTAGCCATGTTTTTGAAGGGATGTGGTGCATCATTACGTGCATGTATCACCCTTTCTGTACGGATTTTGTTTGAGCTGCAAATCAGGCTAACTACATGGAAATGTTGTATTTGATGCACATACATGACGTGCATGTATCAACTTTTCTGTACGGATTTCGTTTGAACTTCAAATCAAGCGAAATATAGGCTGTATTTGATGCACATACATGTACCAGTTTTTATTTTATTTTCAAATGCTACTAGTATTATAAAATACTTATAGGTTGAAGAACTAAAAGGTCTCTCAGGAAAAAAACCCCAGAGGTACTCTGTTAATTTTTTTTATCAAGCTCATTAATTTTTAACTCTACACTGCATATAGAGAAGGGGGGTTGAAAGCATTATAGGTAGATATAATAATTATTATAAGCTAACATCAGCCTTTCTTTCATTTTTTAGGGAAAAAACCTTGAAGTATCATGATAAATCTGATAAGGGCATGCGGGCTTCCATGTAGACAGGGAATGATAAACACATGATCGGGAAGGCTTGGGCTATTATCATTTTATACTCACTTTTAACTGAGAGAGCGCACGTGTTCCACGAATTCCAACATTATGATACACTGTACATATACTCAGCAGTGAAATAGGTCGATCATATTATAGCGGTATAACATGCAGTTATTAAACCCCTGTTAATGTCAGTCAGTGCTCACAGCTATCAGATTATTTGACTCCTGAGACGAGCCCTCGAGGAGATAAAGTGCTATTTAGAATAATTTGGCTACATTGCCAGATGTTATGCTACTGATTTGATGGTCAGCTGGATTTTCTCGAGGCAAGTAAACCCCGATTTATGTAAATAAATGAATTGGCGGATCCAGTTACAGTTGTAGATATCTAACCAGGATGTTTTCAAGAAGAAAAAAAATTGGCTGAGACTCACCCTACAGACGCTGCAGCTCCACCTAACGGAGTATGCAGTATCACAGTCGACTCTCTCCAACAAACTGGCAAACAGTTGAAACTCCTCAAAAGCACTGTTATCGCTTCTCATCAGGTCTACCAGAGTTTGGTTACATTCAATTTTGCCCATCCATCTCTCGGATTCATTTTGAGGTATTATATGGTTGAGAGTGTACATATTGCAAAATTTTAAGTGTATCTCGGGAGGCCTGAGCGTCCTTTTATCGACACAAATATCTTGTATTAATTGTTTATCAAGAAAAAGGCACTGATTCTTGATTTTAGAAGGTACATTCGAATGATACACTGGTCCGCAAACGGAGAGCTCAGGAAAACCCGAGCCAAGACACGCTTTTGTAAACACCATGACGGTTGTTACAAGGATAACACACTGTGTGTATGTGCACCTTGTCCAGATGGTCGGTTTGTGAATGTTCGGCTTAACATATGACGTATTCCCATCTTCATAGCTTAATATCATAGTTCAGAAAAAGAGCACACTTTCAGAAAATTTAGGAAAAGCATGAAAGATATTTTTTTCTGTACCTGACTACATTTATCCAAAAGAATTTGTTTTTGCCTTTTTAAATAACACACTTTCTTCACTATTTGGCATTACCTTTCTTAAATGGCCGCTGTTTTGTTGGCCAGAATAGCCTCCACCGATAGATTGAATAAAAAATCCTCTTGCGAGTTGGTGAAAACCGATTGCATTCCAATAAAACAAGGACAGACGGGGAATAAACGACATAACTATCTCACTCAACACTTGTTTGATAATTTCCAATCATTAATACACTTTTAGAAGTAATATTCCACTGAACACTACAAATTTAACACATGTTGAATATCGAAATATAAGTAAGTCACCGCCATCTTAACATTCCCAGCAATTACTCGCATCAGCAGCGCATGCGCGCTTCAAAGAACTTGTTGATCTATCTCTTCTGTTTATTTTCTGACTGAAGAAACTTGCCAGTCGAGTTTCCAGCGAGATCTTATGGAGTGGCCATGCGTATATCCAAATGTTTATTCTTTTCAGATTTCTGGAAATAAATATTTTAACCCATTGACTAAATTTCCATGTATTTTTATTTCCTTTCACATCCGTGAATGTCTTTCACTGCAATCCCGAAGTAACATCTGTGACATATTTTCGGGGCTTTTTATTTCAATTACACTCGTATATTTATGTAAATAAACTGCATCACTTGTGGCTGTTGATCGATAAGTTTGAATTTCGGAACAGCAATATATGATTGTAATTCAATAGAAGAAGGATTTTAACGTCTCTCCTCACAAGTAATAAAGCAAAACATGCTATTGATTGCTGGACTTTATCTTGGATGGCAAACAAGTCCGATTCTCCGGTCAGTGGAATTACTTTGCTTCACTCTAGGCAATCCCAGCAGCCTTGCTTGGAGAGATAAGTTTTCAAACTCCGGCACTGAATCCGGGCTTTCAATCCATATTAATTACTTTTTACGAAGAGCTCCGCAGTCTGGGCAGGTCGGCATAGCGAGTCGTAGTAAATGTCCAATAACTGTTACGTGTCAATTAGACGACGCTTTACGGCGCTAGCGGCCTCGCGTTGTCGCACCATAGACATGTAGTTTGCTTATGGACAATTATCACGGAAAAGAAGTGTTTGTGGTTGGCATTAATGAAATAACAAAGAGGAATTGAAGCCATTTTTAACTCAGGCGCTGCATATAGAAGTCTACACTTAAGACCGTGATTCTAAAAATCTTGATTTAAAGTAAGCAGTTTGATCTTAATTTAAAAGGAAAAAAGTTGTGATTCATATATTTGACAAACGCACAATTTGTAATTGACAAATGAATTCAGAAGTTTAGATCTAAATTTGATATTAACTACATGATTTTCACATGGAAGATTTGCAAACACGATAACAAGATTAATATTTGATTTTCTATAAATTTGGATCCCCATACAGGTACAACAAAAATCAATGCAGTTAGCCCATCAATAAATTATGTTTAGTTAATAATATCTCATAAAATAAAAATTACTATTCAATGATACAGCGAACACTGATCGTATCTATCTGTTGTGTTTCTCTCATTGACAACATTTTAGTGTGTATTTATTTCCTCCTCTGAAATAACATCTGTTTGTGTTGATGTTTCACAAAATGAAAATTAATTCATTACACCAACCACAGAACAGTAATGGTCAGTCTTTTGTTGTTTCACCAAATTTAACAAAAAGAGTAAGTCTATTTACCCTTATAAAACAAGCACCAGACGTATTTCTCCAAAATGAAATGAACAACATCACTCTGTGTTGTTATTTTCTCACCAACAACATAAGTCTTTGTTGTTATTTTCTCACCAACAACATAAGTCTGTGTTGTTATTTCCTCAAATCTCACCAACAACATCAGCCTGCATTGTTATTTCCTAAAATCTCTCAGACTCAGTCTTTGTTGTATGTGTTGTTATTTCCTCAAATCTCAGCAACAATATCAGTCTGCGTTGTTATTTCCTCAAATCTCACAGACAACGTCAGTTTGTGTTGGTCTCTCACCCGGCCCCAACACCGATCAGTGGTGTAGATTCCACAAATCTAGCAAACAAAATTGATCATTGTTGCTGGATAATTCCCCAAATCTAACAAACAAAAAAATAACACCAATCTATGTTGTTTAATTCTCCAAATATTACAAACAACATCACACTTTTTTGTTATTTCCTCAAATTAATGTCCTTAAATCGTAAAAAAAAAAATCAAAATCAGTCTGTTTTGTTTTTCTTCTAATATTGGCAAACAAATTTTTTCCCAAAATTTGATATGTACCCTTTGATAGCAATTAGTTTTAAATTAGAGTATGTTTGTGTTTCAAAGGATTTTGACCCTTCAGATCAGGAAAATGGTTCATTGTTTATTGCACATTAATGAACATTCTGTTTTCAAAATGAAATTTTGGAAAATTGGATAAAGAAATGTAATTTTGGAATCATTATAATTCGTCGTGGAGGTACGTTTTTGTTGATTGCTTATTAAAGTTAAAATGTTCTTTAAGATATAATTTAGCGGTCTTTCATACATGTAAAAGAATAATTATATATTCCGATATTCGCTGAAATTGCAGATTGCAGAAAGGAGTACAAAGTCAATAAAAATTAATATCACGTTACCAACTGCAGTAAAATGTTGATCACAGAAAAGCCGCAGATCTAGATGAATTGAATTGCGTCCCTTTGGCGAAAGATTTAGCCCTTTACTCACGACAAATTCTTTTCTGTACCTTTTTCGTTTTTCTTTTTTCGTTTTTCTTTTTTTTTTCTTTTTTTTTTTCATTTTTCTTTTTTTTCTAATTTTTTTTTATTTAATCTTCAACCGATTAAAGATTCGCTGGACAAAGATGTTGAAATATTACAACTGAATTGATTGTCTGAGGCCGTGGCTTCCATTATGTACAGGATATGGTTGAATAAAAAAGTTGGTCCATCGCTCTGTTCTTTCGATAAAATCTTTAAATTTGCTATAATTAAAACATTGCCATAAAGTATTCATTTGTTTTTGCAGTCTAAAAAATTTCCTTTGACTTTCCGATACAAACATATACATGTATAACAGTCTGGTATTAAGTTTTATTTCATATTATCTTAGTACTGATATATTTTAAACTTAGACTGTTTCTTGAACAAAAGAAATAAAACGAGATTATTTTTTATTAAACCAAAAAGATAAGTTTATTTTTTATCCATATATATGCATGTGCAATAACTATTTTGAAACAGAGTACTATAAATCATATAGAACTGAAAAAAATGATATTAAACTGAATTATTGAAATTATCTATTACAAATGCAATCTTTTGTTTAACATAATAGTTATCAACATTGACTATGTTTCTCTAATTTAAATTAAAACACAAACCTAGACTTTTCTTTTAAACATGTACCCGCAGGGGCTACTTTACTTTCTGGGCTTGTGAAGGACATATCATCAATTCACATCTGCATATTCCCTTTCCTTTATAAAAAAAAAAAATCATTCCCTGTTTCATACACTGATACATTGCTTTCATTCAACTCTATACATGTTTAATGCAAGGAAAATGTCGTCCCCACTCTACCTTTCAAACTTTTCCAACTAGTTCAAATACCTCCTACTACGTAACCAACATACTGAGCAGTTTTCATTCAACCTTGCAGTTTTAATAGCTATAAACACTATTGTCTTTTATTTTAATATTGTCTTAGGTAAATCAACAAATATATGCTTCATATGCTTCTGTATGACTTGACCCTAACATGCCTCAAGCTCTCTGATATTTTTAGCCGGGCTCATTACTCATAGAAGCCGGCTTTTCTCACGGTGTTCAACCGGAAATGCTTCTTCCCTACCGCCAAATCAACTTTACGAGTAAAAATATAGTGCGTATGTTCAACCGCCTTCGATTTTTTTATTGAAAGCAGTATTCTGCATAATTTACGTTCAGTATTCATTATATCTTTCATATATAAATCTAGACACATAGCACTGTAATCATATTAAAAATATGCCAACATTTCAAAACACAATAACATAGAAAACTCCTTTCTGTAAACATGTACTGTATTTGAATTTGAATTTTTTTTTTATTTTCAAAAGAAAGTACAAGTACCAGTAAATCATGATCATGTCATACACTGTACGTAAAATGAAATAAACATCATAGTAAATTATTATATACTTTACATCCAATATTACAGGTGTAAGGTATCTGGAACTCTGTCAGATTAATTTGTTTTGTCATTTGATCTTCACAACACGAGTACCTTACCGTGTTCATACATGTAATACGAATAAGGAATTTATAAACCGCATCATATTAAAGGGTCGTAGTTTACTTCTATGTACATACATGTAATTTGTTAGAAAATTAGAGAAGATGTTATTAACAAGCTCTTTAATGTATGAGTAATTATTATTTTAATTCAAGTTTTTCTTGTGTTAGAGTTGTTGTGTAGAGGCATATACGAGTACTTGCTGCTTGGTTTGTTTAAAATGGACATTCAAATAGAGGTTTCTATATTGCTGCGGGCTAGAAGTTATAATTCCTTAACTAGGAGTAAGGGTCAAATCGAAGGGAAATCAATTAACCAATCGGAAGTAAAGCAGAAATCGATAACCAATCGGGGGTGAGGAGGAAATCGATAACCAATTGGGACTGAGGATGAAATAGATAATCAATGGGGAGTGAGGAGGAAATCGATGAATTAATAGTTTTCTTGTAGTGTGAATTCGTTTCCTGTTGTACAAACCTTTATGCAGCTTTCGAACGTTAGGAAGCAAGATGCTCCTGGAGCGCATAACTCTTTAATATTAATTTTCACCTGAATAAATCTATTAAACGTAAATTTTAATTGTCAATGTGTAGTATTGCTGGTAATATCAATGCACTTTGGGAAATAAAAACTTGTTTTTAGTTAAAACAACTTACTTGTATATGCCGTCTTCAATTTACCGCATGGAGCTTAGATAAACCTTCAAAACATCCTAATTGTTTTTCTATAGCCACTATTTGTTTTGGATATAATTTTCATCCAATATAAATGTTTAAACTGTAAAGGTTTTTTGCTATGAAGTCATCTGCTATTGGTTGGAATTTCAACCAATGTATCTTATTTGGCTTGTGTTTTATTTGTTATTTTGATAGAATATAAACTATAAAATGGCACTAATTATTTTTTTTTAATTGTATATTAATTTTATATAGATACATATAAAGCACTACAATGACTAGCGACAATAAAAATTGGCAAATTTTCTGTACGCGCTGTCCCTTTCTCAGGACAAGGAAAAGACTGAAAAGATTTTTAAAAAACATAAAATCAAAGGAAATAGAGAAACAAAAATAATATGCACTACATGTAAAAATTCAACCCTAAATATTTACAATTTTACATGTTTTATTTGAAAATAGAAAACAAATTGA